CTGCAAGCTTTTGTCAAGAAAGATTTAGCTACTTTCCAAAAAAGGATCAAAAAGGACAGCAAAGAACCTAATGATATAAGAAGTTTATATAATTGATACATTTATGCACACCAAAGAACACATGAAAAAAGATTTCAGATTTCTCAATGTATAGTGTGTGTGTACAGTGCAAGAGAAAAAAAGCTGGTTTACAGCGGAGGGACGTTTTAACGTTCTGTTCAGTGTGTATTTGACCAGCGCGAACTATTAATGTAAATGAATGATTACAGAGCACCTTCAGCAAACGGCTGCTGTACTGTACTGTTCCTGCAGTCTGCAGAATAGATGTGCAAAGCTCTGATCAGCTTCCCTTCACCCTCAGCACAGCATAAATCAAAAGTGCGTGTGACTGACAGGCTGAGTAACTGTTTGCAAGGGCCCCCCGCCGATAAAGCAGGCCAGATCTGGCCCATAACCCTGCAGCACAGGAAATGACTGGGATGCCATAGTGCATCTCCACTTCATCGCATGCCAGACCTCTGCTGGGCTTGCACAATATTCAGCTCCAGCTGGACGAAACGCACAGCAGAAGAAAACAAGACTCTGTAAATTAGCCTTAATAATGGGCTTGTTATGAGCTTGTTTAAAAAACGATAAGGTTTATCGTATTTATTGTCTGGCGAGATAAGTACAGTTCAAGAGCACTGACTCGGGCTCCATTCTTACGTCTGTATTTAAACCCGGGAGGTGTTCTTTATGTCAACGGTCGTCAACAGCAAACACCCGAAGAATGCACAACAAATATGTGTTAACAGCTCTCTGATTTTCCGAGAAGTTGCGTAAAATCAGGCTAGCTCCGCTGGGATCGCCAGCGTTGCGAAGGAGGGATGTGGTACCATGGCTCCGTCTTCTTCCACATCTGTCGCACACTGCAGTACGCAAAGCTGCCGACCTCAAACAGATGGAGCCAGAGTCCAGGCGCCTGAGGTCATGCGCATGTTTGGATGACTATTATATTGTCTACATATTATAACAAACACTTGGGAAAAAACAATAAATGTCATCTAGCTTTTAAACAAAAGCAATGTGATGATTCAAGGAAGCAGGAACGGATGTCACAAACGTTTGTCAGCGTCGGTGTGTGTGATTTATTCCTATGACGCTTGCTGCTATCAGAAATACAAATGGAATGCACACAGGTTTAAATATTTGCATATCTTGATGTTCTCCTTCCTTTCCTTTTGTGAATTAATCTGATTCATTTATCAAATAAATATTTGCTTATTCTGATGCTCTTCTTCATGATTAATAAAACAATACTTCTTCGTTGTTAATACCTTCTGTGAATTAATCAGATTAATTTACCAAATAAATATTTGCAAATTCTGAAGCTTTCGTTCTTGATTATTATAAAGAATATATGATCTAATTAAATTTTTTTTTTTTTTACTTAATTTACCAAATAAATGCAGAGTCATAAGGTATCTATATAGTTGTATATACACCCAATTTATACTGTTAACATTTGATATTATAAATATGTCTAAAATACAATATGGAAAATATTTTTAAAAATATTAAGTTAACTTATATTACATTATTTTTCTACTTATTATAATATTATACTGTTATGTATTTACTCATACTCTTATTTTAATCTAATTTTTTTAATCTAATTGTAATCTTTTTATCACATTTTTATTTATATTATAATCATATTTTTATTATTTATTTTTACACTGTTTTTCCATGAATGTTTCCATGAACCCCTTAGCACTCGCAGTTTACATAAAAATTGCAAGAAAGTTTGAAAACCCTTGGCATGAAGGACCTTAGTGAAACCCTCTTCTCACAAGGACAATAATAGCCTTAAATAAATGTAATTACATATAAATTTTACACCAAATCTACATTGTAAGAAAGTAACATGCACAACACAACTAGATTAAACTAGGTTGCGTAATGACAGCTTTATTATTGCTGTGTTCACTTTGCAGTGTAGAACATTCAGTTCATAAAGGGAACATTCTAGTTTGTTGCATCACTTGCCGTTGACATAAAAATCAAACACAGCAACTTCATTAAAAAAACCCCAATGTGACAATTTCAATGAGTCAGAAAAAACAACAACAGATTTATGGTAAAACTGTCTGTGTCTGTGCAATTATATCTCCAGCTATTCTTAGTGTAGATGTAATAACAAAAAACATAACTCGAGTAATCACTGGCGTCTGCTGTCTGTCGTAGCTCTTCATTGAAGGTGATGAGAGCACACACAAAGTAATATGAAAGCAATTAGGGTGTCCAGGCAATCTGCTATTTTTGTTTGTCTTACAGCTCATCTGTAGACCAAGTCATGACAAACTATCCCAAAAATGTGAAGAGCTTTTATAACGCTTGTTGTCTTTGCACAATATAGCAGTGCTACATTACCACAGCAAAATGATTAAAAAATTCTTGCGATGCTTTCCCTGATCTTGTGAGCAAGATGATCCAATATTTAGGCTATAATCTCATATTATTTGCTCTGTTATTCAAGTTTTGTTCTTTGAAAACAGCGCATACCTGTCAGGAACCTAAAATATATGTGAGCTCCCCGACAAATCTCAAATACCAAACGCTCCAAGGAGAATTAATCTTTCCACTGACGGTACCTAAACGTCAGTGAAAATGAAGAAGTACAGCTCAGCAGCCATATATGAGGTGGAAAATTGATGTCCTACATAAAACAAAAAAAGAAAAGTTTCCGACAGGTACGGTAGTAACAGCATCAGTCTGATGTGATGATCTCTGTTACATTCAATGAGGAGGAGAATATTCCTTCTAAAAACTGTTGTAAAGGCATGTTCACCACAAGAACTATAACCATAATAATAACTTTAATGACAACTATGTTAGTGTCCACACCAATGGATGATAACAGTTATGTCACTGTCGTTTAAATGCTCAACTCTTTAAAACAGGATGGATTTTGATCAAAAATGTAATCAGCTGAAAATAATCGATTCCTACAATGTCGTTCCTCTGTGCCGTGATGGTTATAGTTGTGGTCTTTGCTATCTATTTAACCCTTGTTGTGCTGTGCTGAAAATCCTTTACCTAATTCGGTGTTCCCAATCAAACATGACTGACCTTTTAAAAATAGTTAGATCTCTCGTTATGCTATATTTTCTCCAAATCTTGCTCTCAATCTTTTTCTCAACTTGTTTTCATTCGATTAGCACAGATTTTGCATTACATTTTGTAACCGTTTGGTCATAGGCCTCGATGATCTGAGCTTATGCATCTCAGTTTTCGAGTGAAACAGCATTATTAGTGGATAATTCTGGCAATGTTTCATCAAAAACTGAGGTGCATAAGCTCAGATAAATGAAGCCTATGAAATTGATAATCTGTGCTGAAATAAAACAAGTTGATAAAAAAATTGCATCCAACATTTGGTAATAACAGCAAAACAAGAAATGTATAAACAATTTTTTGTAGGCCAGTCATTTTTGACTGGGAACACCAAGTGTGACAAGGTAAGGAAATAAAAATCCCCCAAATTACCTTTTTAAAAAAAAATAAAAAATTTTATACCCTGTGTAATTTTCAGGAAAAAAATATGAGCATCACAACATCAGGGTTATATTTAGAATGATTTTTAAAACTGTATTCATTGTTATTGGTATATTTAGGTCAGCGCTGTGCTTCATGCTTTTTTTTTTTTTTTTTTTTATTAGGTTTAAAAAAATAATGATTATCAGACAAATGGACTGTCCATATGCTCTTCATATCTTCATCCCTGTTCCATGTCATGTTGTTGCCTTTTTGTGCCAAAAAACCTTTGTCCTTGACACAGTCTCTGGAGATCTACATGAAATCACTCTTGCTCAGGCTCGTTTCTGTCTCTCATCTTGATTTACAGACTCTGATAACTGATAGCACGTGCATTTCATCTTTTAAAAGCGCCTCCACATATGTCTCTCATCTCCCAATGGAAAACAACACATTACAGACCTGCATACAGCTTAGCTATCAGATGACACAACTATATGAAACCATTTCATCTGTATTGGTTTAGAATTTTTATATATATATATCAAAACTTTCTGATCTAACGACCCTGCTCTGCTCGGCCCAAGCTGGTCTGTATTATTTTGACGAAAGTATGTTCGGAATGTCCAGTGACTCTATAAAAGTCGCTAGCTGTTTAAACTGCACAGCATCATTAAAATCCCCCCGCCACATCGACGTCAAGTAGTAAAACACGAGGAACTACCAGAGGGACCCTACTCTGAGATTAATGGCAATGTGAGCGCTTATAAAGGAATGTGATGGACTAACACAAAATAAGTCACGAGGTGCTATGACAAGAAAGACAAAGTTACGCAAAACCTAAACAACTTAACATACATCAAACATCCCTCTTACAGGAAGCACTATACTTATAGATCAGTAAGCTGTACCAAACTGTCACAATAAATAATACTTCTCTGAATTAAAACAGTATTATATCCTATAGTGTAATAAATCAGTACTGCAATAAGTCATGCTGGCTCAATGCAGGCTGAAAAATTCTGGAACTTTGAAACTAAAAGGTTCATTTCGATTCGCCTTGTCAGAGATGTTTGTTTAACACTAAATCTGCTGTTCCCTTTCTAAAAAGACTCCAGGCTTTGCGTTTAATTAATAACCTACTTTACGTCACGGATCCTATCAGGAGGTCCCATCGGCAGTATTTTAAAGGGAGTATTTCTCCTAAATACTGCAGTTTGAAAAGAATCAGTATTTTGCAAATATACACTATTTAAAATATTAAAGAAACCTTTTTTTTTTTTTTTGCGCAATGGCAACCACTGAATAACACTGCAGGAAACTCTGCACTGAAAAATCACAATCCAATGTTTTTAGTGTTGCAGCATTCCTGTATTTTGTGATCTGGAACTCTGGCGGGAGTAATCGTAATACTTGACTAACTGCTCTGGTGCTTTTGCTTTTAGGTCGCTGTGGTAATAAATTCTGCTAATACTGATGCCCACCTGTAGAGCACAGTTCATCATGCGAATGATATGATCAAACTGCTGGTGGTCCAGGATAGCACGGTTCTGCTGCACGTGGCGGCTGAGCTCTTCGGTCAGGCACTGGCGTGCTGCTTTGCCTTTCAGCGCCCGAAGAGCCGCAGGGAGTGCCTGAAAGAAACAGCAGCGTCAAGACATTACTAAAACATATGCTTTTTAAGTGCTCACCATCCACCTAAACCAGACTGGGCCGCCTTCATCTGGATGTAGAAGCGGTTCGCTTGTATACGCGCATGCAAAGGGCGCAATCGCTCCGGCTAAATCCAGCCAGTTGACCTCTGACCCATAGTTAAAATTCCAGAAGGGTTGTTATTGATGAGATTTTAAGTCTAGACGGAGGCAGCACCCTCCGCTCAGGTTTACTTGGGCTGACGGAGTAGAGGTTGTGTGGAGGTGATGTCTTTACTGGCTCAGAGAAGCCATTAAGCTGCAAGCACAACATTTTTACAACTGTAAAGGGATGCAAGCTTGCATTGTATAACCTACAATTTAAACTCAAATGTGTGCAGGTAGCTGGCTACCATTCCAACGCAAACACACAAATGATGGCAGGCTCCAAACATCCTCTGTGAGCAGATTTCCTTTGCTACAGGTAATTTGCACAGAGTTATTTAGCCTAAAAAAATGTTAAGATGCTTTAGACAAACAGCAGTCACGGTTAATGTTAGAATAATATTAGTATTAGTGATAAGGGCAGGGAAATTAGAAGAATATGTGTGACTGTTTGTTCACCCCTTTCCTCCTGCGTTTGTACGACTTGCAGCTGGAAAGCTTTGCTTATCGTGCTGTGAATGCCATCACTAATGCATGCTAATCTGCATGCTGTCTTTTTCCAGATGTGCAAGTGAATGTGTGTGTTTAATCCTTCTGTCATCACAGAAATGATTGCATCACCTTCTCTGTCTCCAGAGTCTTGTTGTCTAAGATGAAACCGATGCACGTCCGGACCACCTCCAGTCTACGAGCGCTGTTAAAAACCGAGCTGGGCTTGCCCATGATAGACACTGCATAAAAGACAAGAACAGTTAACAATGCATTACAGTGACTTAACCATGGTTAATCAGTATTGTTATGCACAACACAAAGTGTTTATACTGTAAACCTCTTAACTGTGATAAAAATCACTATTACACACCATCTCAAGTGGTTTATTGCTATTATAACAGGTCAAAAGCAAAATAAAAGACACCAGCGTCAATAAGTAACCCCTTTCAAAAAATAATAAAATAGCCCCCTTCAGGATGATACAAGACCCCTGTGCTTCACACCAGGATCCTGATCACCCTTGTCAAGGTTTATTCTGCATCAATCATCAACAGTTCTACATTTTTTAAATTACTTAACAAATAAGTAAATCAGAGGTTTAGAACCTTTTTTTGTCTGCCAAACCCAAATTTTATAATAATTATCTGTCTTGAACAAAATTAAACTTAACTTCTGTATCATGCTGACCTTAACCAATGTTACCCTGTCTATAAGCGAATTTTTAAAATAGCTTTACTTGTTATCTGATAATAATTAGAACAACGTATTTATCCATTTTGATAAAATGAGAGTAATTTGTTAAGTGGTATTATGATAATTACCTTTTTATATGTTTTTAAAAAAAATTACATATAATACATTTAAATCATAGTATTGCCCACACACTGCCAGTCAAAAGTTTGAAATATTAAGATTTTTTTTTTTTTTGTCTGTTTTTGAAAGTCTGCATTTTATTGGTTAAAAATAGTAATATTGTGAAATATTATTACAGTTTAAAATAACTTTTAAAAAGAAATGAATAATTGTATTTAGCAGGGATGCATTAAAATACACAAAAGTAACAGTAAACACATATATAATGTTTCTACTGTTTAATATTTCTATTTCAAATAAATGCTGTTCTTCCGAACATTTGATTCATCAAAGAATCCTGAAAAAATTTATCACAAAAATAAAAAAATAATAACTGAGCACCAAATCAGCATATTAGACTGATTTCTGAAGGATCATGTGACACTGAAGACGAGTAATAATGATGCTGAAAATTTAGCTTTGCGCCACAGGAATAAATGACAATTTAAAATATATTAAAAAAGAGAACAGTTTAATTAATAACAATTTCACAAAAAAGTTTTACTGTATATTTTATCAAATAAATGCAGCATTAGTGTGCATAAGAGGTTTCATTCAAAAACAAAAACATCTTAATTACTGCAAACTTTTGATCAGTAGTATATGCACCGCTAGTTAATATAATAATTTCACATAAAGTCACATAATAATATTTTCCTCACTCACCCACAGGTGGTCCAGCAGGCACCACACACTTCCTCTCTGGACGGGTACTGATAGGGGCGGTGTGCTGCTTGGCAAGGCCTTCCTGTATCAACTCCTCCACCCTCTCCTCCTCCAACAAGGGAAAGGGCACCACATGCACCCGCAGGTGTGAGCCCTCGGTGGGCCGAGGCACTTTCTGGAAGGCCATGTGGGGGTTTGGGTTCTCCTACAGAATGCATGTCAAAACAACTGTCTAAATTCAGTATTAAGAGCTGCAGCTTAATGGATTTCCATGTAAAAATTGGAAAAAGGTCACCATCAGTCATCCAGAGCATAACTCTATGAGCACTACAACCTCCACTGTGAAAATGTGCTTTTCGCAGTCATTCATGCTTTTGTATATTGTGAGTGAAAATTTCCAACACCCGGGATAAACTGAGCAGTATTTGATCCAAAAAGGTGACCCACTTTCACGTGCGTGTACATCACTTACAAAACATTCATCAAAAGTACTATTCAGTCTTTAAGTGTAAAACTTTTAATAATGAGGGGAAAATTACAGAGTTCACCTTTCAAGAAGCCTTAATAAAATCCATCAAATGTGACAAGGGAGAACTCTTGGCAAAAACAGAAGGTCAACCAGAAGGACAGAGAATACATGCATCAAACAGCAGCCACTAAAGTTCAAGCACCTGAAGGAACTGACATTAGAGATGGCGTCATGTGCTTACGTTTTTGTAAAGTTGCTCGGACAGCTCTCGCAAGCGCTTCTGGAATTTGACCAGGTTCTCCTCTTCCTCCTTAAAGCATTCTACATCTAAAGCCACCAGCTACAGAACAGAAAGAGAGCAGTTCAATATAGGAACCCATGAATCTGTGGTTACAATGTGCACAAGAAATCAGTTTTTCCACCTGTAATTGATTTAACATTACCCAGAACAATAGCTGGAATTTCACTCAGCTACACTGAGTCACGCATGTATTATCTTCCTCTTGTGGAATGATGTTACTTAGTAGGAGAGTAAATATTTGCTCTAACAATGATTCGATCCGATTACAGTTGTTTACGGAATCGTGCCATACAGTACATGATGAAATAGTCACAAATTTCATTCTGATTCCATCAGAGTTTTTCGGTACAATTCATAATTATTTTTAAAAATATTCTGAAGACACAAAAAATGGGCTCTGTTTCAGCAACTAGCAAGTTTCGTTGCTGTCTACTGTCTACATGGGCAGCATCCTAACTGAAATAAATCATATAAGTGACTGATTTGGAACGTTCTATATAGGCAGCAACATGAAGAGCTGAGGAGACATGAATAAGGATTATAGAGGCATCTCACTTCGCTTACTCATGCACTACTCGATGCCATTTTGTAGATAAATAGACTTCAAATACCCGGATTAAGTGAAGTGTGTAATATTAGATATGTACGTAGTAGAGAGGAATGGCACCAGTGTTGGATGCCAAAATAACCTACATATTAGTAAATAGTGCATAGTATATAGTGCGTCATTTGGGACACAACTTATTTATGGTGTTAGCATGTTGCTACGTTAACACTGCAATACTCAATTAGGGTGGGCATTTGTCCGGTTTTAGGTCGGACAGTCTGGTTTTGAAACACTTTGTCAACTTACCAGCGCAGCCTTGAGCCGCACAATCATTTGTCCTCCTTTTAAGATCATCACTATTTAATACTTTATTCAATGGTGTATAATAAAAATATAATTACTTTAAAAAAAACCTTTGTTTAAGTTATTATTAAGTGAAGTACATTTTAGACACAATATTGACTGATTTGCTCTATTCCTCCAAAAAAATTTGTTCCAAAAAGAGTCTCTGATGCATCTCTGATGTTTTGTTCCTGAATGATTCAGAATTTTTGAATTCTATGATTCAGTGATCCGTTCATAAAGACAGTCATTTGTTTCATTCCTGAATGAATCGGTTGTTTTGAACGAAACGGCTGAATGAATGAATCGATGCATTAATTAAGCTAATGACTTGCCTCCACCTACTGGCATTTTAAGTTGCATACTTAAAGCATTTTTTCCAACATTTCATGTTTCTATATTCTATTTTATATTTAAAACAATCTTATGACATTTAACAATGATTATATTACCTAAAAAGTGTAATGTAATGGATTATGTTACTAACTACAATTTTTGTGATGTCATTTTGTATCAATAACGGACTACAATTTGTAGCGCTGCATAAATGCATCTCAGTACATTCAGCAGTACACTTTAATCATATTTCAAAGACAATATAATTATGAAATGACATATAAAGTAGTATCTACTGTAAGACTTCCGGAGTGAATCAAAAAACACTCTTAAGTTCAACTGACTGAATTAAATATACATTTAAACTACAACACATTTTCATTTTGCACATAAGTATATTCTTTTAAGGTATATAATATCTGTAATAAGTAGTCTTATATAGCATACTATTTCTTTTTTTGTTTAAGTGTTGTGCTTATATATGAACAAGACTTGATCTTTTTGAAAGAATGATGACATGACCCGAAATGGCTACCGTTTTTGTCACTGTAACAACAATTATTCTTAAACTTTGGATAGTGTGGATATGCAGCCACTCACAAAAAAGGTGAGATGAACATATAAATTTAAATGTATAATATCATACATTTAAAGGGCTAGGGCTATCATGCCCTTATAAAGGTAATACAAATCTGTTTAATTTGGACATCAATTTAAAGGGGGCCAAATATTCTACCTTAATGGAAAAGTTCATTTCTGTCACTGCTTGTAGGTTTGGGATTATTTTTCCAGGTTTGATGTTTTTTTCCTGCTTTCTCCACCATCTTGGGCAGACTGCTTGTCGCATTGTATTCTGGGATTGCCTTTCTCACTGCAAATAGCCAAATGTTTCCTACGTTCACAAACAGCCCTTGCATTTGGAGGGCGCCCACGAATTATCCATTTCTACACCCCTGTGTTACTTAGTGGGCTCTGATAAAGAAGTACCGCACCTCATCAAACAGATCACAGGCTCTGTATGGAGGTCCCCGTTCAGACACGAATCCCGCAAAGGCCATGCCATCCAACACCTTGGTCAGGAAATCATTTTCTATCAGGCCCCGCTGGCCCAGGAAGGCAGCCTATCGGGGAAAAGAAGGTCAACGATCAAAGAAAAATCATGGCATCTGCTAAAATTCCACTTCAAACCAGCAGCCAAGTTTAATTCAAATGTTGCAGAGATATTTTTCTAAACAAAACAACTTCCAGAAGAAACAAAGTCAGACGTCTGTTATCTGCATCACCAGATACATCAAATGAGATGGGCATATGTATATTTTAAACAGATCCCCTGCAGCATCAGCCAGTAAATTAAGGAGCATTTGGCAGGACTCAAGTTGCTCAGTTTTGAGATGTGAAGCATTCTTGTGCTATAATCTGAGCCATGTGGGGTGCTTTATGGGGGTCGTATTGAGACGTTGCCACAGAGACATCGGCCGACACAAACAAAAACAGGTTGGGGGGTGAAATAACACTTGCAAATACAAGTTTGATACTTTTCATATGGCTCATTGCGAGGACAATTCGACGGACCAAAGTGTTTTAAACAAACTAACCGCGATACCATCGGCATGAGCGCTTACGTTTGCACCGAGGCACTTCAAAGCAAAGCGTGGACGAGGCAAAGCTCAGTGCTTATCTAGCGACTTCATTGAGATTATTCTTTCATTCTCTGGCTCTGACCCAAACCCATGGTGTTTATGAAAAGGCAGGTGTTTGTACAAGTGCAAGCTGCCTTGGGTTAAGGTAAGATAAACAATGCTGTATTTCAAACCAGTCAGAGTTGTTTGTACCGTCTGGCAGTCTATAGAACATGACATGAGATTAATATTTATTCAGTGCGTCCTCCTAAGAAGTTCATATTTACGAGTTGGGTAGTCGTAATTATGATGTCAGGTGCGTTCAAATCATTTTGTTCGTAGCAAGATGACAATGTACCTGTTCTACAAAAATGTAGTTATAATTCAACAAAATGAACAAAATATGATGAGCAATTCATTAACAAATCATTGTTTTGATATTTTAGTAGATCAGTAGATCCAGTTCTCAAGACTGGCCTATACTTTGGTTAAAGCAGAACACAAAATCAAAACACTACATGTGAATAAGGTAAAAACAACAACAACAACTAATAGATAACACCATACTTCCCCAGTTGATTAATCACTGAACATTAGGACAATTGTGTTGTATTACAAGTTTATTATGACGTTATGTTAAAATGTCATTTATATTTTATAATAGCATTATCTTATTAAATCTATTAATTTGCATACATTTCCAGAAATGAAATCTTAACAGAGGATAAAGCCAGGTTTAAATTTCCTGTTTCATTTTGTTAAAGGTTTTTACAGAGGCATTTTAGATATCTCTTTTTTAATCACTTATAAATCAGAAAATACTGTCAATGGCTAGATATTTGTAGAAATAAAATATTATAGAAATCAGGAAAATGACATATGAATAAACTCCCCTTTGTATGTGTGTGTGTATATATATATATATATATATATATATATATATATCACAGCAGCTGGAGAGCACGTGCTGCGAGCACAGTACCGTTTCCATGCTCGTTTGACTCGTGCCTGGCGCTGAAGTGAAGACGCGTCTGAAGTGATCGCGTTCTGCGACTGAATAAATGCACTTCTTGTCAAGAGAAAAAGTGTATATATATAAGTGTTACTCAAGTGGGAATTGCAGGCTTAGTGAATGAGAAAAACCTAATTTTGGGGAAAAGAAAGATATGTACTGTAATTGAAATCTACAGATGCTGATAGATAAAGTTTAATAAAATAAACACTTAAATGTGTATTTTGGATGTTTTCTTTCCGCTTGTCTATTTTAACCAATAACTGTGTATTTTTGTGTTTATTTGGTTATCATGCTACTAGCTTAGAAACATGTTAATGTCAGGCTTTGAGTTTTAAATAAGTCAAGTTATTGGCCATATCTCATATAGGCCAAAATCTCAAAATTTACCAGTGCCTGAAGAAAATGGGAGAAAAAAACAATGGATTTGCCTGTAATGTCTTGCTTTAAATTTAGGCCATAGTATACAACTTAAGACAAAGACATAAGACAAATAGAAGATACATTGTATGTTTACATTTAGGTATTTTCATGGTTTTGGTATTTTTGGTATTTTCATGGTTTTTCCATCCCTATGCTTGAAAGCGCTAGTTCCTATTCACTGAGTGACTAATGCTTATCTCCTTTTTTGTTCCACAGAATAAATTAATGCAGGCCTTGAAATAACATGACGGTGCGTAAATGATTTTTGAGAGAGAAGGTCATTAATCTACCACATTTAGAAATACATTTTCAAATACATAAAATATTAGTATCATACTGTATATCTGCCTACAGACCCCTGCTGAACTCTTACAGACCTCTCACTGAAAACCCTGGACATAATTAGCAAGAAGATCCTTCTCGAACAGTCATTATGCAAGCACTTGAGTTTACTGGACTGATCTGGCATGATGACAGTAATTGCTCCTAATCGCTCGTGGGCTGATGGGCCTGATTACTCTGCAAACGAGGTTTAACATCATAAAGCTGCAGATCAGCGCCCTGCTCTCACCTTATGAAAGTGAATCACAGGTTCGGAATGGATGCGAATGAGTTGCAGACAGGACCTGTAGCCCTGTAAGAGTTGTGCAAACAAGTGCAGGAAGACCGCCCTCACCTCCTTATCCTGTCAAAAACAAGAAAGCCAGAATAGAAGCGACTGAGAGACATTCCAGATAAACGTATGAGGATGGAATGAGTCAGAATGAAAATGTTCTCGCCTCAAAATAAACTGTGTACGTGATGGGAGTTCGAAATGAACAGATTTTTCAGCCCCCTGAAGACCCAATAAGAGACTCCCATGTCGGCCACATGAGTGTCAGCCACACATTCCGCAAAATTCACATGTAACCTTGCAAGATTGTAAAAGCGAAAATAGACAAACCAGGCTCTTACCAGCAGTTTGAGGTTGGATGGAGCAGAACGAGGGGGTGGGAAGGCATTATCTGCTCCTTCCAGATCTGGGTGCAAAACCTGAAGACAAAGAAGGTATTTAAAGTGAGGAAATATCCTGCTATCTGAGGGAATGAGACAAATGGTGCAAATATAGCTTATGGAATGTCTCCAGTCAGAATCATCTTTCAATGCTATGTAAAAAAACATCACTTTATTACGGTGCAAGAGGTTATGTATATGTTGAAAGTGCAGATTAGCTACTGAAGAAAGATTATGAAATATGACGATTAAAGGCGAAGTGTGAAGAATTTCTACACCACTAGTGAAAGCAAATTGAAATAGCTAGTATTTTTCAATTAAATTTAAATGGCAATTCCTCTGCAAACCTGGCCACCAAGATATTAAGGTGTTGTGGGTTGTTACCAGGGCATTGATATGTGCTTACTAGAGTTCAAGATGGTTTCTAGGTGCTTGTTTATTGGCACAAATCAAAAGAGCCCAGTCTCAAGTATCTATGGCTCATATCATTGCTGTCAGGAGAAAAACACTTATCTCCAAAAAAATTAATTTCTCAAGAGCATGGAAACGTTTTTTTCTTTTTCTCATAAACAACCTTACCAAATGAATAAAAACAATATAATTTGTCCCTTTTGGCATAATAGAATTCTATCATTACACATCTGTTAGACATTTTAATTCGACTATCGATTGTTTGAGAGTTTATTTTTTGAATACAATCTGATCTTTCACTTACTATTTTAGCTCAAAATCAGTTTGAGATATGGGTTCTGGGTGCAGTGCATGAACTACAGTCTATAGTTTAGACATCCCGACAGCTAAGGAAACCAGAACATAAATGGTTTTGACACTCACTTTTCAAGGCCAATGGAGATATTAGTTACATAAATGACCTGATTAAACATCCTTTTAATGGAATATCAACGCACAGTTAAAACAGTAAAAAGAGTGTGAATTCCATCTGTGGTAAAAGTCAACATTACCAAAAGTAGAGGTGAGTGTTTTCCATTGGACTGCAATTATATATGCAAGTCTTATATATCGTATAATCTTAAAAAAAGTAAAAGCTCCCCCCTCGATGTCTTTAAGATTAACTCAGGTCCAAAGCACAGTGGTGTAGAACAGGTGAAGCTTTTACTGTATATTTAGGGTTAGGAGTTTGCTCAAATGTTAAAAATGTATTTTACTATACTATATATATATATATTTTTTGTTTATTACAAATGTTTAAAATAATAATTTTAAAAAACATGCATGCATTGTCTACTTAAATGCAACCCAAGTTGCACACTACAGTAAATAAATTACATGACACTATAATGTGTGTGTAATTTTATTTTTTTTTACCATGGACAGTGCTTTTTGAGTATTGTGCAACAGGGGTTCGGGGAGCTGGGAGAGGTGTATACACTCCGGTACTTTAATTGTTCCTCCGTCAAGGTCAGCAATGATCACATCGAGCTGTAAACAGAAACCAAAACCCAATCAGAAATTACCGAATGAGTCACGGAACAACGTTACCAGAATCTGACCACCTGTTTTAAGGCAGATTGAAAAATGTCTTTCTGTAAGGCCTTGAGCTCACCAGCTCTTGGATCTCGCTCTGGAACATGGAGTGCACTCCGATGATAAAGGGTGTAGGCGAGCTCAACACCTCCAGCAGTCGAGATGGGAGGACGGGAATGTAGGGGTAGCTGTGGTCCAAATCAGAGTTAGGCAACCACCATCATCATGTCAAGCAATCAGCAGATGTTAACATCAGACTTTTCTCAATAGATACCGAGCACAAAAATAGTACATACATTGTTGCAAAAGACTCTAAAAATAGAACGATTTGCAAAATTACACACTTCATTTCTGAAGAGGACACATTAATTCAAGCTTTTCTTGGCGCATTTGAGTTGTCCTAGTTTTTATGCAATGCACTTAGATTGAACTAGATTTGCTAATAATGTAGCTAATGAAATAAGATGCTCTTATCAAGGCAACTGAAGGTCAATTATTCTGGGTATATCAGTAACAGTCGACGTCGACCCACCTGTACTTAAGAGGAAACATGAGGGACTCTAAGGCACGGCAGGCCTCCCCAAGTCTCTGATAGCTGGAAGAGTGGAACAAAACCTTGTGCTCTGTCAGAACCGCACAGAATAGACTAAGAACATTCTGGATCCCTGGAACACATAAATATGACACAAATGCACAATTACTAATGACATTTTTGATCTGCAAAATTTAGCTCAAATATATTCAAACACCTTTTCTGAAAACATGAGAGGTTATAATTAGGGCTAGGTATTGTCTACAACGTCACAATATGATATTTATCACAATTCACACATCACAATACTCTTACACTGTGATATATCGCAAACCATCATATTAACATTATTAGATCTCGACTGTCACTGCTTAATTTTTTGTACCATTTAAACTGACACCCATTCAAGCAAAAAAACTTTTAAAAAAGCCATAATTTTTTACTAAACTAAATTTAAGATTAATTTTTATAATTAATATAAAAATCTTGACTGTTAATGTTTAAAAAAACATATTTTTTAATGTTTAAATTTAATAAATGTAAACATTTAACGAAATAAAAACTTTACACATATTGAGGACAAGCAAAAGGCAATCATTTTTACTAAACAAAATTAAAGATTAATTTTATAGTGAGTATAAAACAAAGAGCTGGATAAGAGAAAAGTAACAGATCTTGATTGTTACCACTTTACTAACTAAATAAATAAATATCAAAAACTGTTTTTTTTAACTGTTGAAATTTAACAAATTTATAAATGTAATGAAATTATATTTAAACCCAAAAGCCAAATAATTATACATATATATATATATACAGTGGGTACGGAAAGTATTCAGACCCCCTTAAATTTTTCACTCTTTGTTATATTGCAGCCATTTGCTAAAATCATTTAAGTTAATTTTTTTTCCTCATTAATGTACACACAGCACCCCATATTGACAGAAAAACACAGAATTGTTGACATTTTTGCAGATTTATTAAAAAAGAAAAACTGAAATATCACATGGTCCTAAGTATTCAGACCCTTCAGGGGGTCTGAATACTTTCCGTACCCACTGTATATATATATATTGTTTTTGTTTTTTCTCCCCTCAAATAATTGAAATAAAATAGATGCTCCACCATAGCATAGATGTTCCTTCCAAACATGTTTGCTAGCTAGTCCATTAAAAATGTTGTAGGTTAATAATAATAATTTCTTATTATTTTATTGCTGCACTCTTAATCTTGTTTTTTGGCCAACTGCTATAATGGACTGTGTTTTTAGGAGGATTTTTAAACTAATCTACAAGTAAAATAATAAAACCAATATTCTTATTTGGCAGGCAGCTGTAAAATAACCAAGATAGTTTAGAAGTCACTGGTTCTTATCGGTGCTCAAACTGGGATCTGTAAAAATCTGGGCTTGTTTCCGTTCTTTTACGTAATTCCATCAGTGCATCTGGTGCTAAATCAACACCAAGAATGCATGCAAATAAACAACGCTATCAGCGGGTGCGATTCATTTGCATATCTGGCTTTATCACGAAGATGCAAAAAAGCCTAGAGAATGGCAAATATGTAATGGAGACATAAATTATACAGCAAACTCCTCAACGGGAGTCAGAGAAGAGAGCGAGAGATAAAAGTTTACAGTTCCTGTTTTTGTTTGTCATCAACATACCACTGAGGCTATTAATCACATGCTCAGCAGAAACAGACAGCCAGCTATTAACAGACGTATCCGCAGCGCTGCCAGGGTCAATGTTCCCATTATGTCTGTGTCAAACTCTGATATGCACCAATAAACAGGAACAAGATATGAAAATTCACACTGACTGTCCTGTTGACCAAATACCTGAATCCAACAATAAGCAAAGAGAGGATGAAATGTTTAGGAACATGAAGTCAATTGCATACTTGTCATTCCATTCGACCCATTTTAGAAATGCAATAAGAAATGTAAATGTGTGACATGAATCGTCATGGTCTGAGTGGTTTCTAGCATTTGCTAGGGTCCTACAGGAATGACAAGCTGCCCCTAAACGTTCCTTGGAATCTCAGTGTCGTCTTCTGCCCCAAAAATAAAACGACATTTCATAATCTTGTTTGCGAGGCATCCAGTAAAACTCTTCCTGACCTTGTGACATTTAATTATCTGTTGGAACGGCTACACATTTCTGACCAATGCACAGAAAGGGACAGAAAAAGCTGCAAACAATAGACACTGAGTCTTATGATGGCAAAAATGCTCTTTTTTCTTGATTTCTCATGGTGAGAGACAGGTAGGGTGAAGCGATTCATTAAAAAACAGAATTATTCAAGAACGAAAGACCACTGTGTTGATCAGAGATCAACAATAAAAAAAATTAAATTATATGTCATTGGATAAAGTATAAAATATGATCTTAAAATGTAGACAAATGAGCATCTGGCTTAATGGACATGGTATTTAAAGGGATAGTTCACCCAAAAATAAACATTTGGTCACCATTTACTACTATCATTTACTTAGCCTCCAAACCTGTATTAATTTCTTTCAGCTGTTGATATTTTGAGGAACGTTGGCAACCAAACAGTTGACGGAAGCCATTGACTTTCACATTATTTTTTTCCATACTATGGAAGTCAATGGCTACTGTCAACTGTTTGGTTACCAACATTCTTTTTGCAACAACTTGAGGGTCAGTAAATGATGAGAGAATTTTCATTTTTGGGTGTACTTTCCCTTTAAATACCATGTCCATCAAGCCGCTGCAGCCTTGAACCAGAAGCTCATTTGTTTACCTATCATTACTATTTTGTACTTTATCCAATTGTATAAAATTAATAAATAAATAGATTAAAACAACCTAAAACTACACAGATGGCCACAGAGACAGGCCATTCTTCAGGCCTCACTCTGAGACAAGGGAAATGTGGATAAAGTCATTGACGATGATGTCCGTTTACAGGCTTCAAGAGGAAACAAGCAACTATCTGTTGACAGACAAGTGTTCCTGTTTTCCTTTTGATTCTTCTGTAGAGCACCTGAAGCTGTGTGATGTTCAAGATGTTATTGCCACATAATGGATGAAACAAGTGAATGGCAGACAAGAACAGCATTTGAGAACACAGCTTTGTATAGGTTGCTAATGTTGACGTAACCCATCTGAAAATACAGTCTAACCAAGGACGAGCTCTGAGCCAGATAGGCCTGATCATTGATAAATCTGTTGTTGATTCACAGAGGAGAACAATGGAGAGGAGGTAGAGCGTAAATTATACAAAGAAGTTCAAGATGACATTTTTATTAGCTCATGTAGGTCGGCATGTTGCTGGGATATTACAGGCTTGGGTAACCTTAAGATCAGTCCCAGAAGTGCTGCGTATCTGGGAGGATGAGACATTGACATGATGCTCTTATCAGAGACCATGCACACAGAATGGTATTTGGGATGGTGTTTTCTCCTCTGTTGGGTCAAAGACTATGGCTGCCTTACAAACCCACTTGTGAACTTTCCAATGCAGGACAAAGAGCAGGCACTAATGATCTTGACATGCATCCAGGAAGATCGGTTTGTTTCTCACAGAACCTCTTGAGACATCTTGGAAAGCAAGAGTTTTTTGCTTGAATGTAATTTGAGAAAAAGCAGAATTGCCAGTAAAACTGATAATCGCTTATTATATATAAAAATACTAAACTGTCATTCAAAAGTTTGAGATCATTAAGTTTTTTTTTTTTAAATAAATTAATACTTTTATTCAGCAAAGATACATTAAATTGATCAAAAGTGACAGTAAAGACATCTATAATGTTTTTCAAAAATTTATATTTCAAACAAATGCTGTTCTTGTGAACTTTCTATTCACGGAAGAATCCTGAAAAAAAATGCATCACCGTTTCTACAAAATATTAAGCAGCAAAACTGTTATCCACATTGATAATATTAATAATCTTGCAAATCAGCATTTTAGACTGATTTCTGAAGGATCATGTGGCACTGAAGACTGAAGTAATAATGCTGAAACCTCAGCTTTGCATCACAGGAATAAATTAGATTTTAAAATATATTAAAATAGAAACAAAAAAGGATCTTTCTTAATTTTCTTCACATAATTCCTTTTTCCTGTTTGGGGCAGATTTTGTAGTGAAATATGATCTTGACAGGCTTAGTAAGATTCACCCTTTAAGATGACAAGGCGACTGTTGCTCATATCAAAGCTCTGCAGAGAGACGGCCATGTGATCAAGGAAAAAGCCCACGCTGCTTTAAGGGTCATCAGGTTTATAAAGAGACTCTGAAGGGTTTGTTTAGTAAGAGTGTCATTAATCAGAGATCTACATAAATCCGTAAAAAATGAAAAACCTCAGTGAACTGTAATGAAAAACTCCACATTAGCCCACATCTAAGTTGAATAGTTCAAGTCAAATTCTGGCCAAAATAAATCATGACCAATCTTAAAAATAGTGCACAGTATAATTACAACACAGATAATATTATATGACAGGAAACGGGGAAAAAGGTAAAACTACTTTCACCAGTTGCACAACACAAGGTGAAGAAAATACTGAGTGCCGAATCAAATACTCTGATTTTATTTGACAGATTTAGAACATGTGCTCTGTTTGTTCAATTTGAAAAGTCTAATTGTACATGCTGACAAAGGCCTTAAGGACATGAATGTGGTGTTAATTAGCCCAAGACTGATTTGCAGCTGGACAGTAGTAAGACATAATGCATCTGTTACAAAGTGATGCGTGCACAACTGTCCAAATGCTTTGTGTTGTGCTCCAGCTGAACATGGGACAGCACGCACACCATTAGTACATTCCTCTGCAGGTCACTACTTAAGGTTGCCATGCAACACCATTCTTTCAAAATAAGCAACTTATTTTCATCTCTCTAAATAAAAACTGTGTATGTCTTGAAACTTATTTTTTGTCTTTGTGTTTCAAAATCGGACACATTTGACTGATCACTGCACCCTTTCAAAAACCATCTGTGCATTGACTGCATTCATAGGTTGTGAAAGCTTGCCGAGTGGAAAGAGTTGTTTTCGTGTACTTCTGCATACAGAACGAAAGGTGCAGCCAATGTGACTTAATCAGAGCAGAGCTACATCAAGTAATATGCAGGAAAATTTACATTTTTCATACAAGAACAGAAAACAAATCTATCAACATGTCTTCACATACTTCATTCTTTTAACAATTAGCAATTATATTATCAGCATATCAATTTGAGTCAGTTTTATTTTTTGTATTTGGCGTATCTCCCGTTTGATTTTATGACTGAAATTAACTGCACACGTTTGTGTAATGCTGGTGATCATGTTCTCCAGCATGATTTGAAAATGATCTAAAAAGCAGGTTGTTTTTTAATGGAAGCAAAATCTCTGACAGTCTGTACAAAGAGTTCACAATGTCACAAAATTACTTGATTTTACTTGTCACAAAATTGATTGTAACCTTTTCTGAATCCTAAAACTTTATTTCCAGGTTTGAATTAGATTCTGAACATCAGGTTTTTGTGGTGTAGTTTTATGGAACACGATTCGGCCACAGAATAAAAAAATATATATATTGGCTATGAGCACTTTTATTCTGTAATTCAGGCTTTTTTCTCAAAATTAAGATATTAACTCAGAATTCTACAATTATTTCTCGCAAATTCATGTTTACATCTCACAATGCTGTTTTCCCCCCACAAAATAAACAAAAATAAAAAAGGTAATTGCAACATTTTATCTCACAATTCAGAAATTTTTTCTCAAAATTGCAAGTCACAATTACCTTTTTTGTATCCCATGTTATCCCATTCTGTGTGTGTGTGCGTGTGTATATATATATATATATATACACATACATACATAAATACATGTCCACTGTTAATATGCGGACATTCACTGTATACAGCATATATATAATATCAGGCAGGTTTGTAGTTGTAATTGAGCTGTCTAGAAATTTTACAAAAAAATGTTACAATTGCCCGTTCTCATCTATTATTCTCATACGAGTCCTCTCTAAAAAAAACATGTTTACAGGAAGGGACATTAAGCGGAACTATAAAGGACAGGAGATGTCTGCATAAATATGGAAAAGATTTTTTAAAAATGCGTCAAGGGTCTAGTTAAGAGCTGACATGGAAGAAGTATACTACACAATATTCACTGTATACAGTTTACTACTGGCCTAGCCATAATAAAAGTCAAAGACACCCACCTAACTGCTGGAAGAGGAGCGCTACACTTTTACCGCTGACTGGCAGAGTGTCATTGAGTGGGGTCTGGATGAGCTGCCGGTCCCCCGCTCCCAGTGAAAAGAGCTTCTGAAAACATCAACACAAACATTCAGGTTTGGACAAATGCATAAGATAAATACATTAACATTGAATACCAAATAATAGCTCGGAACTACACAAAAAGCACAACTGAGGCTGAAGCATATTAAAAATAAACATTTTTAATTAATAATTTGATTATGTTTCACTGACAATCACTTAAAATGTTATTAAGGTTTTATGTTTCTACAGTAACACTTTATTTTAAGGCCTATTCTCACTATTAACTAGTTGCTTACTAGCATGCATATTCCTAGCATATTGGCTGTTTATTAGTACTTATAAAGCACATACCCCATACCTAAACCTAACAGCCAATTTACTAACTATTAATAAGCAGCAAAGTAGAAGTTTATTGGGGCAAAAGTCATAGTTAAAAGTTAGCTAATAGTGAGAATTGATCCCCGAACTAAAGTGTGACCGTTTCTACAACTATATTTGTAAACACACTCTATATAAATGACCTGTGTGACCTTTTCGCAAGGGTTACTCAACAACGGCATATTGCTGAGCACTAAATAAAGTTTGATTTGTGAAATATGGGCACTCAAATCTTAATGTGCTGGTAACTGTAAAGAGCTCTAAATAACCTGTTCTTGCAGCTCAGTCTCCAAAATTGGGTGAACTGGGAAGTTAAATTATCGGTTATCTGATAATTTTATATATTGTATATATACATTTGTATTTTATATAATATGTTTTCATGATATATAGTATATACATACACCCTTTGGAAGCGATAGAACAAGTGGACAGCTCTCTATATTTTAGCAGGTTTACTTTTTTTCTTGTATTGCAAGAAACAGCAGACGTGCATTAAACAGAGCCAATAAGATGCACATGGACTGTTTCATGAACAGATGCGCGCTGGAGTCTCATGACACATTCCAAGCGGATGGAGTTAGACTCACACTGAAAGATGAATATATACCTCTCCTGAGGTCTGTTTATAACTTACACCCTGTTTGATCACCATGATGCCACAATCCAGCTGGGAAAAATAATGGTTTCTGGAGGAATTTTTAAATGTATCGGTGAATTACATCAAAAACAACATGATTTCAACACGAGAGCCTGCAAAACTCTGCAGTCTGCATTCATATATTTCCCTTCGTTTAACAATATCTATTTGTTGATTTATTCATTTAGCTTGATTTATATGAGCGCAGTGTACAATAAAGAGTGGATTTAGAAACTGTGTTTAAAGAGAAAACATACATTTTTGGGATAGATCTGCTGTTTTAGGAGAATCAGACACCAAAAAGAAAAACGAGACACAAAAATGAAGAACTGCGGCGCTCAAACCAGAACATGAGAGCTACATTTAGTAATATTTTAGCTCTAAACAAAACAACGGGCTTCTCTCGCTGACCCCTAAAGCCCTTTCTACCTCTTGGGAGTCTCCAGTGAAAACAAAATGCAATATGAGACACCCTGCTTTCTTCAAGGTACACAGGTACAAAAATGAACCCTGGCTAACCCTCTGTGTGCTCGAGTAACCACAGGGGTCAGGGTTCGAGACAGATGAGGAATTCTTTGGTTAAGTAATGTCTGACCTGGGAACCTCCAGCCACTGGGATCAAGCATGTGAAGAGGTTTGCCACCAGCCCTTCCAGAGGGACGCTCAGACTGTCAATGTACACGGTGTAGATCAGACCCAAGCAGCCCTAGAAGAAAAAAAAAAACAATCAGCTAGTCCCTGACACACAAACACACGTGAAACACTTCTGGACAAAAAAAATCAAGAGTCAATGTGAGTGGTGGATTCTAGGGTTTTGCTAGAATGTTCTGGGTGAATGTTGTGGTGTTGCTATACTGTTCTGGGTGATTTAGGGTTTTCTGGGTGGTTTCTAGGGTGTTGCTAGTGTTGTGGGTGGTTGCTGGGGTGTTGCTACAATGTTCTGGGTGATATTAAGGATTTCTGAGTGGTTCCTAGGGTGTTGCTAGTGTTATGTGTGGTTGCCAGTGTTGTGGGTGGTTGCTCGGTTGTTGCTATAGTGTCATAGGTGATTTTTAAGGTTTTCTGAGCGGTTTCTAGGGTGTTGCTAGTGTGATGTGTTGTGGCTATGGTGTTGCTAGTTTTGTGAGTGATTTCTAGGGTGTTGCTACAATGTTCTGCATGGTTGCTAGGGTGTTGCTATAGTGTTCTAGGTAATATTTAAGGATTCCTGAGTGTTTTTAGGGTGTTGCAAGTGTTATGAGTGGTTTCTAGGGTGTTGCTATAGGTGGTTTTTAAGGTTTTCCGAGTGGTTGTGGGTGGTTGCTCGGTTGTTGCTGTAGTGTCATAGGTGATTTTTAAGGTTTTCTGAGTGGTTTCTAGGGTGTTGCTAGTGTTATGTGTGGTTGCTAGGGTGTTGCTATAGTGTTTTGCATGGTTGCTAGGGTGTTGCTTTAGTGTTCTAGGTGATTTTTAAGGTTTTCTGAGTGAATGATTACAGTAAATTAGTCCATATTCTGGTCCCTCCTACAATGAAAGTCTAAAGATTTTTTTATTGTATGCTCAAGTGAAAATCATAAGTCTGACAAGTCTTATCAACAAGATGAACAATTTAAGGTAGCAATCATGTTCATAGAACAAACTATTTAAATTTAATTTCTATCTATCTATCTAGCAGGGCATAAAAGGGATATGCCCTCTTAAATGGGTACAATGAGAAACTAAGTGATATGGTCTGTGACCATAAACATTTGTTTTTTCACCAAGCAATACAGCTCAACTAACTTATTTCCAGGCATAGCTCATGCTAAATTCATAAATGTAGGGCAAAAGTACAAAACATTGAGACAGGCAGTCTGCATAAAACTTTGGATGAGAGGATTTCCTGCTTTTGAGCTCCTGTGATATTCCTCTCTGTCTCTGTAATCCCTGTTTTTATTCCATCAGCAGACATAAATCTTTGATTTTAATGATTTAAAAGCTGACGATCAATATCATTCTCAACCCAGTGATGGTTTTAATTATCCTAAATCCAACTACAGCTCATGCATGAAAATTCCTAGTTATATGTACATGTGATTCACATCAAAAATGCGAGTAAAATTGGATTTTGCTTAATAACTAAAGTTACTGGTCACTTAGAAAATGGATGATACTGCATGATATGCTAAAGAACAGCTCAGTCACTAGCTGGCTGCTCTCTTCTGTATCTTAAGTCTTTAACTCAATGAAAATCATAAAGCTTTTTTTTTTAACTACACATTCCTGACATCACTAAAATATATTAGGAACAAAATGTTTTTTTTTTTGAGAGGCGGTGTTTCACAGAGAGACTACATAAAATGCAATGGACAAACAGATGGACAGAGATACAGATTTTTAATTACTCTAAATATTTCTGGGTAATCCAGCCTGGAGACGAGAATCAAACTTTTGGGTGCAAAGATTTGAGCTGGCTGGATCAAACCATCCTCCTCCTCTTCCTCGTCCACATCCTCAGCTCCATCCCCATCTGTCTCCAGCGTCTTTGAGCCCTGAAACAGAAAACAATCAAAAATAATTTTAAAAGTCTGGAATAAATAAAATTCCATGCGGCTGAGGTACTCTTCAAGTTGGTGGACAAGTACAGCGCAATCATATGAGATAAAGCCTGGATGTGATTCTCAGATTCAGATTCAGTCATGATGTCTTTAAAATTAAAACAGACTCTAATCAGCTTGTTTGTTATTAGTCTTTATAACAAACCCCTAACAGCATGGATGTGTGGTGGGCTTCTGAAATTAGGAGTTTGAGATTTTTCATGAACAGTGTAAACTGCTATATTAAATATGTTATAATTCCGGTTTATATTTACACCGTTTTTGGGTTAAAGTGCCCCTATTATGGATTTTTGAAAATTACCTTTCATGCAGTGTGTAACACAGCTCTAAGTGAATGAAAACATCCTACAAAGTTTTAAATCTGAAAGCGCACCGAGTATAAAGTTATTGTCTCTCAAAAGAAAGAGTCGAATCTGAATCATTGAAACGAGTCCTTTTTAAAACGAATCCCAAGCCGTTTCATGCTGACATCAACATGAAACATTAGCATATTGCCCGCCTACTTGTTGGTCTTTTCGGGTTGGTCTGAATGAAAATGCTAATTAACAAACGCTGCTTTATCAGGCATTACAGACATGATGAAAGGAAAATGAGACCAATCGGACCAATCACCGCAGATTAGCGTCACGCAAAGGAGGGTTTTGGAAAAATGTATCGTTGAGTGAATAATTTGGGAGTCGTTGAGCAAGCAAGGTAAAAAAAAAAGTATATTATAAGACAATAAAAGTGTTTTTTGACCTTGCATGCCTGTCAACCTGTTGTTGGAGACTCCCAAAACCAAAATCTGAACCTTTCATTACCCATAATAGGGGCACTTTAAAGGCATTCACTTTGCGTTATCAAAAAGCAATCATAACACTACTATTATAGCAATTATAACTATTATAACATTACAATATATGCATTTGTATTAAGGCTGTCGATTTGACATGTTAATTAGGTGTGATCAATTATGGAAAAAAATAACAATAAAATTATTAATGCAGTAAATGCACCAGCCTCAGATCTGTACGTCATCTTACACTGCATGCAGTTGCTGACGAACATGACGTAGGACAACAACTGACTACATGATGCAGCCTATTAGAATGCAGTTATATGCCCCTAAAGTTCAGGATATGAGGGCAATAAAATGCCCCTGTATGGGTTTTTGTCTTATATATTATAAATCTGTCTTACATATTTATATCATATAATATAGTTTAGCAATATCACACATGCAAGAGAGTGTTTTTTCCCTGAATATCTGCAAAATTGCAAATGTGGCATTGGTTTTATACAACAGGTTAATAAACTGCGTTTTAGACACAATATTGAATGTTTTGCTCCATTTCGCCAACAAAAATAGTTTCAAACAAAGCTATGACAGAATCATTATGCCTTTTCGAGCAACATACAGCAATGCAGGGCTCTACAGTGCGACTATTTCAGTCGCATTTGTGACTGAAAAGTACTGCGTGCAACTATGAAAAAATATTTAGAAGCACCTGTGCGACTGACCAGATCAGCATATTTGTGTTTGCGCTGAGGGAGCTTCATAGGTTCTAACGTACTTGCGTGTTTTTGCAGCATTGAGTAATGTGTCACAGACTTATCCTCTCATTATAACAAACAAAGTGTAGACAGAATGTAAATAAGCAGTGTAAGGAACTTCGTTGATTATAATGGAGTTTAGTGAAATTGCGATGAACTAAGATGAGTGACAGCTTTTAATGATTATTAAGGGAGTTTGCATATGTGACATTGATTTAATACAACAGTTCATTAAACAAGAAGTTAATATTAAGTGACATATTGTCTGACAACAACACAATTGCCTTATTTTGCTAAATTTTTAAAGTATCTTGTCTGTTATTTAAATCATTTAATATTTCTATATTCAAAAATTTATATTTAAAACATTAACCTCAACATGAATTTATGAATTTAATTGCACTCATGCGACCTCTGAGCCTCATTAAATGTCTGAAAATACACTTACAAGCCACTTCTGTGGTTCTTCTGTGCCAACTGTCACATCCCTGGACTGTTTTTGTTGTGTTTTCATCCCTCATGTGCTCCGTGACCTAGTTTTCCCTCATGTTTGATTGTGTCATTTGGTTCA